GACAGGAAGGTCAAAACTGCTTACAGCTGCATGGAAGAGAGCAACCCAGTGCCCAGGCTGTGTACGTCCCTTAGGTAGTTGTCGATTTGGGGTTTTTCTATGTGGTTTCCTCACACTGAGCCAGCCCCTGCATGCAAATCTGTACAAGCCASCAGCATTACATGGTGCATGCAATGGCCCTGGCCAGCTGCCACTTCTCAKTTCTTGTGTTCTTCTTTTGCTTGAAGGAACAGGTGTCCTGATTTAATCCAAACAAGACTGGGATAAAGCAGAGAAAATAGTGGCTGAAAGGTGTTCCCTCAAAGAGACATAGGATTGCATAGGAGCAGATGTTCTGGAATTTTGTTCCCTGGGTATAGTACACACTTAAAACCCTACAACTCATGCAAATGTTTCTCCTGGCCCACATGATGTATTGCACTGGATGGCTTTGTAGGGACAAGGCTGGCGGCAAAAGTGGGGTGGGAGTTCATAGAGGAGCTCAGATAGGACCAAGGTTTTAAGCTGGAGTCTTTGAGGCTTTCCCCAGCTTTCTCTTGAGTGTTCCATCAGCTGTAGGCAGCAGATGTTCTTGAGAAGCCAAGTTTCCTGTATGATGTGCCATCCCTTTCTGTTTCAAAGTATCCCTGTGAAGGTATCATGTCCTCATGTGACCATCTACACCATGCTCAACACACCACCAGAATGAACAGCCACACACTCCCAAATTGCATCTTCCAATAACAGGCCTGAACAGCTTTTATCTCTCTAGACAAAGACTCTGTTATGCAACAGAAGAAATGTTCCCAAGCCAACAGCACWCCCCCAAACAGCTGTGATCTTCCCTGTTTTACAGACAGACAGACAGACACCCTTAATGCCCATCAGCCTCCGTGGGCTCTGTTTATCTTACATGGATAAGGCCATGTTGAAAGAAAAGCTCCAGTGAGAGACCAGAAGAGGTGAACAGCAAAGCCTTTGTTAACTGTATTTGGCTGTCTAAMAAACACTTAGGAAAAAGATTTTAAATGCTCTTAGCAGTTCCAGTGTCACCCCTTCGCTGCAAGTGCCAGCATTGTATTGGACAAACCTCAGATCCCTGGTATTTCTAGTAAAATTTTAAAGGAAAAAACACTGACCAAAAAAAAAATCCTTTCCCTGTGACGTCTAAGATCCTTTCAGCAAATAATTCTATATAATATTCAAAAATCGGTATTTTCCATTATTGCTTACTTGATTAAAACTTTACCTGCCACCATTTCCATGGTCAGATTTTCTTCACCACCCGCCCTGTGTAGGTGCCAGCGGTGCTGGGTGGCAGCAGCTGCTGATGCGTGAGGAATATGAAGAATCACAGTGCCCACAAGAGCAGAAAGGGTGCCAGCAATGAACTGCAAGCTGCTGCTGGCAACAGTGGGATGGGGACTGGAGCAGGTGGACAGAAAAGTCCTCCTCTGTTAAGCAAAGCAATGGAGCTCAGCCTGGGCTGAACAGACAGGCAAAATCCTTGMAGCAGCAGGGCCTGGGGCTGTGGAAAGCAGAGAGGAAACGTGAAGAGCCGAATAGTTGAGAGGTAAGAGTGAGCACTCTGACCCAGCACAGCTCATCTGGCTTCATCTGTCTCCTCCAGGTCACTAATTTGGGCAACAGAGCCTGCTCCGTCGCTGTGAAAGTCATTGTAAATAACCCCTTTTGAGCCCTCTCTGGTGAGCTTCTGACAGAGCAGCAGCCAGGGTTTGCTCCCCTGATGAGTTCTTGGGCCTCCAAAGGCTGGAAGGTGGCAGAGMAGGCACAGCTGAAGRYGTTGATATGGGGGTTTCWGGMAGGGATTTTATRAGCACATCATTCCGAGGTCACCAAGCTCCTTGGAGGAGAATGGATGAAGAATGTTTATTCAGCATTTGGACATTAAGCACAATTTCTTTCATCCCAATATTATCTTTCCAGGTAAGCAGCAGCCCATGTTTAGTGGGATGCCAGGATGGCTGGTTCTGCTGGGCACTTCCAAGCACAAGCTCATTGCAAGCCACAGCAGCTGCTTGACAGAGGAAACTGGAAATAGCTAATTTTTGTACTTGGGGCATAGACAATGCCACAGGTACCTTTCAGAAGCATGGAGAAGTGGGTGCTGGGGAAAGGAAATGTAGTTTCTGCCATAAGCCTGARACAATCCTATACTGTCCACATCCTGGTTTCTTTCTCCCTGGTTATTGAACCAGTTATCGAGCTGCACTTTCCTTGTGATGGACARGGATTTTGTTTCTTTCCAGAGGTGCAAAGATTAGGATTTCCAAAGTGTAAACATGCACAATCAGGACATTTAAGTACCTGYATGACATGCCCTCTCTTCATACAGATGCACATGACATACACACAAAATAAAAATAAAAAAGTAATTGTATTTCTATATTTGTGGTACACAATATATGAACTTGGTGGAGATTTTCTGGGAGGTGACACAGCAGTCTCRTATCTGGACAACCACTTCTCTTTTCCAACAGATAGACATTGTGGCAGTATAGACTGAAAAAAATGGATGTACAGATTAATAAGACACAGAGACAGATTTTATTTTGAACCAAAAGTTAAAATTTTATTTGGAATATCAATATACCCCAAAAAAATAAAAATAAAAACTTCCTTTYATGTAATGAAATAGCCATTTGAAAATGGTAAAATAAAGATATTTATCATACTATTCTCTTCTAGTTATTGTACACATATTAAGGTTGTTTTTATTTTTCTGAATATAAATCTAGCTTGAGCTTTAAGGCTCCAAAAAGCCTAAAGCATGTAGTGGCCCTTTTGAGAAAGCAGATAAGTCAATCAGAGCTGCATTTTTTTCAGCAGACAGGCCTGTTTGAAGCTGTCCAGGRCTGGACAGAAGGGAGATTTCTCAGGAAGGTCACTGTTTCAGGGAAGTATTATTTTATACCCATTGGGAAATACACTCTAACCCCTCTTCATGCAGCATTTTACATTATGATRTCCTGGGGAGGGCCCTGGTTCCCCTTAACTGTCAAGTTAATGTACAGATCCAATCTTATTATTTGTGTTGGTACAGTTAATTTAATTTAAGAAATCAAATCCTACCCTGTGGTGTTTGCTCTGCTAGAAATTATGTCAGTGACAAGACCCTGGTCCTGCCTTTACCCCTGTAAGCAAAAGCCTGACTGTGATGCACTGCCTGCAACGGAGCATTCACGACAGCAGGACCAGGGACTTGTCCTTTAGCTCGCTTCCAATAAATGGAATGGAAAATGTATTGAAATACAACAGTGGAAACCTACTGACAATTCAGAGTTACAATTCTTGCCTTGTGGAGGGCTCAYTGATGCTAGGCTGGAAAATATGACTGCAGACCCATGTCAGAGCCTGARGAATGCCCCAGATGGTTCATGTCACCACTAAGCAAAAAGGGAATTCAAGTTTTGCATCACTCTCTACAACTGGGCTCCAGGGAGGTGAAGCAAAGCCACCTGAAGTCACTGACATCTCACCAGCAATCTCACTTTCAGCAGGCAGCGGCACAAATCCTCAACTTACGCAGTATAGACTGAAATTTGCTTTGATTGCTCCCTTTGTCAAAGGCCATCTTCACTACTTTATGTCTGTGTTTATGATTTCTATACAAAGATGTTACACTTCTGCTTCTGGATCTGAAATACAGGATAGGCTACAACTAGTGGAGATATTACAGCACTAATGCATTATATCTGGCACTGCTTACAAARGCTGCTGTTTCATGGTCACAATAATTGGTCTCTTACGCTCTCTGTTGCCTGAAACCACCTGAATATTGATCCCTGAGGTATCATCGTTTTCAACTAAAGCGTCCCAAGTTTTTACTTACAGGAGAAAAAAAAATAAATACACCCARGACTTGAACAAATTATTTGACTACGGATGTTCCTCCAAACAAATCCACAGACCCACAGTTGCACTCAAGGAGTAACTGCCTAATTTAAGTTCTGCAGGGGGGTCCCCTACATGGAAGCCACCCCATCCTGGGCACCTGGCACTGCACAGCCCACCCTCCTTCCACATTGCTTCTCCTCACCTTGGAAAGGAGTAACTGTTCAGCCTGGAAATACTTTGTCCTGGGATATGAAATCYATCTCCCTCTGTGTCTCTCCTGCAACTTGTGCTCAATATTTGAATGCTACTAACTTGCCTGGCTCTTTTGAATGATTCCTTTTGCACASCTCAGCCCTTATCTTGGAAGCAGAGCTTGTATCACGTTACTGTGAGATGCTGGTGAGAGGTCTCTTTTGGAGCCAGCTGCTCAAGTTGGGTGTTATCAGTGAGCCCAGACATTAATCATTTGTGACTCTGAGTTGCTGCAGGTCTGTAAAAAATGAGGGGTTTCCTTGTCATYACAGGCACAGTTTAAAGAAGCTGCAGAATTATCCAAGCTTTTGTCATTCCACTAACTAGTTGAAAATATTTTCCTTAAAGTGTTGACTACACGGAAGTAGTGTTAAGGAAGAGCCAAATTCTGCTGGCAGCTGCCGAAGCATAAATCCATACTGACCTTTCTGGTTTTATTTCAGTACACTGGACTAATGCATCAAAACATAAAACAGACATTGACCCTGAGACAGTGACCTCATCACCAGTGGAACTTTCCTGACTTTAACAGTGGATCCCATAACAGCATTTCCAGCATCTCTCATGGCTGTCACAGGTCCTATAATGCTTGGTAAATTTATATAAAGTTTGAGTCCCCCACAGCATGTGTGAATGMAACAGAATTACAGATTTCTTTAAAATAATTAGGGAAAAAAGGGTTCTGGTACTGGACAAAAAAGTCTGAAAATGTGACTCCAAGACTCAAACCAGGGGAAATAAGTAAGACCCAATTAGCTGTGTTTGTATCTTGTGGCTCAATGGCTGGAACAGCTGGAGTACTGCTGAGGTGTCATTACATTAGGGTTGACTAGCTCAGTGTTTAAGTATAAGCAAGTCATGTTTAAATATGATGCTTGTATGTTTTAGGGGGGAAAAAAAGTAAAAGTGGGTTTTTTTTCTCTTTTTGTCAAATTCTTTAATGCCAGTTACCACATTTGGCTCCAGTGGAAAACCTCAGAGGAAAAGCTCAGAGGTACAGGAGGGCCATAGGACCTGTGTAAATGTTTTAATTTCCTGAAGCAAATGGCAGTGTCACAGCCACCTCCCAGCATGACAATACATGTTCCCTACTTTGTCACTGTACCTTATGTGTCTGATACTGCTGTCCCTGCAAGTGCGCTTGTCTGCAGCCCAGTCACCTGCCAGGACASCCCTGAATTTGGTGCTGAGCTCCCCTTGCACACCAGGGGTCCCTCAGGCGGGTGACTGCACCGCAGCCGCWTCCCAGGCAGCAGGAAAGCTGCTCCCACACCAGCCTTGTCTGGGATGGCAGTGAGCACGACGAGGAGCAGCTGCTGGGAACGGTGAGGAGGTACCCATGAGGGCTTTGGGACATAGGGAGAGAGCAGGTGAATCTCTTGCTCTGCTGAAGTCAGTGTTGGCACTRCCAGCACCCAGAAATGTGGGGTTTTAATTCTATGCAATTAAGGAAAAGGGAGTATGGAACAGGGTAGGTTGTTGTTTGCAACCCACAGTGTTTTCTGCCCGTGGTAAACTCAGGCTGCAAGTCCTTGCCACGCTGGGATGTCACTTGTCACTGGTAATGGTTATGGGGCTTTAAAGTCATGAGCCATAAACCTCAATGAGCAGGAGCTGTGCAGGGCTCCCTCCCCTCTGCTCAAAGGCAGTCAGGCACACCGGCTYCGTTCAAAGCACAGCAAAGTGACCTCACTGACTTCAGAGTCCAAGATTTCTGCTCCACCTCAGCTCCAGACACTGGACCACTTCCAGCCCCTCTCACTCTATCTGAGAGACTTAAGACACACAGGACTGAGGGTCTAAATGGCACAATGGTGGGCTTCTAYTAACGCTTATCAACTAACTGCAGTAGACTTTAGTTTTGCCTTTTCCACTCTTAATCGGTCTTCTTAACCCGCTTTTTAGCCAGGGCAAAATTAAACATGAGGAAAAAGGCTTATTCAGCATTATAATTATCTACTTCCAAGCTGTATAACAAAATGGTTTACACATTTAATTGGTTTTGTCTAATATTTCCACGTATACAGTAGTCCTATTAATGAATATCATAGCTTCATTACTGCATATCACATTTTGCTATGTTTTGTACCATAAAATAATGTCAGCACATCAATAACTTAAATAACACAAATGTAAACTCATTTTCTGCTCRTTATAATTATGATTTTAGCCTGAAAAGGCCTTTTGATTTGTAAGACCATTCACATAATATGGAATGTAACTTTATTTGTTTTTTCTTTTGTATATAATGAGACACCGAAAGCCCTTGTCATCTCTTAACAGGATACTAAAGCAGCTCTGTTTCATGAATGACAGCACAATTAAAGCTAAAAATCATAATTAAAAAAAACCCTTTGTACTGTACAATCTCAAATTAAAGCAAGAAAGATAATGACAATCTTTAGCATTAGCCAGGAAATGTGATTCTCTGCCACTGGGCTGTTTTTTCTTGTTGACAATTCACAGAATGTGTATATGGGTGTAGTTATAGGTGTGTGTGTATATTCTATGCAGAACAGCAGTCCCTATTTTGTTGATCTAGTTTTTCTAATTGTTTAGTTAAACTACCTAGCTGTTACAATTTAGAATACTACATTTAACACATTTAACATCAAGTTTACATACTTGCGTCTTTGAAATACTAGGAACTTTTACACATTTTATTTGGCTTTGTAAGGACTGGAATATCACAGATAATGCAATCTACTTGCCTTTGAAAGAATATGGCTGKTCTCAACTAACTCCCTAAGGTTCAGAGTGAAATACATTTCTCCTTATATCTGTAGCTGACTTCAGAGAAGAAAGAGTGTCTTCTTAAGCGGTCAGTCTGATGTTACAGTACAGATTCTGCAGAGATATATATTTGTTTAACGAAGGATAATTCTCTCTGGACTTTAGAGTCAAGCTGTTGCAGCRAAATTACTTCATTTAGACTAATTTTTTTCTACACAAATCTCAAGAAAAACCTATTCCAAGTATGTTTTGTAGTAGTATCTCCACATGACCAGAGGAGGGCACTTTGAACATCTTTGCACTGCCCAGGAGGCAGATGCAGAAGCACAGTGATACCCAATGTCACACAGTCCTGCCACCTCTCCCAACTCAGGCAGGCATCCTCGTGTCTGCAAAAGCACAGAATCCGGATTGTACCACGGGGCTCTGTTCTGAAAACAGTGGGCAGATAAATCACTCTCTTCTTGCTAACTGYGATTTCTTCTGATTTCCCCCATTTAATTCAGTGTTGCTGCGGGCTAAATTAAGAGTAATGGATAATTCCCAAAGATCTCGTGAAGGGARTTGTCTCCCTCTCCTTCCTGAACATCCCTCCGCTATTAGCCCCTGGTAATTTAGCAAATATTGATTGATTTAACCCTCTATGACTTATCCTGCTGCAGAAATTCCTTGCCTTCAATTGAAAAATGCACTTGGAAAATGCACTCTCTGAGATATGTATTGCAACAGTGCATCTTTTCACATTAAACTCTTGTAAAAGTACTGCTCCTTTCAGCCTTCTGAGGGAGGTCACTCTGTGTCCCAGATCTGCTCTCCTGGCAGAGTACACAGCRAGCAGAGAAATCAATCTCTGCTCTTTTCCATTCATAACCACAGTGTGGAGTTCAGCCAGTTTCCATACAGGAAACATCTTTTTGGGCTTCATTTTGGCTAAAGGTATCAACCTTCTATGGAAAAGATTTTAATTCCACAACCTTATTGTTATTATAGAGAGACTTTTTTTTGTCACCTCTGCTTTTTTTTTTTTTTTTTTTTTTTTTTTTTTTTTTTTTTTTTTTTTAAGCTTTATGCAGTGAAATTATTAGAAAGGATTTAGAAACCTTTTTTTTAAAAACAGAAGTCTCTCCTCCACCTTGGGGAAACACACTGCTTATTTAATGTACTTTTTTCTCTCCCCTTAACATTATTCCATTCCTCTTTTCTTCTCTTTTTTTTCTTTCCTTTTTTCTTTTTTTTCCCTCTTCTTTCTTTTCTCCTTCTTTTCTAGAGCAGACAGGTACAAGAAGGAAGTTGTCTTTCGTCAGCAGTCCTTTGAGATAGAGTAGAATTCAGTGAGTCCTCACCATGATAGGATCATAAACTTACTGGGTTAAACCAYGCTAACTTTCCCTAAGCTGCCAAGTTTTAGCTGCACCATACATATATGTGTTTCCTTGTGCCTTTTTGTTTCTTATAATTTTGTTTTTCTTGATGACCCTGAGCTATSGCTTCTCGTTTCTACCACTAGTCAACCTTCCTTTCTTTTCTGGTTTTGCCGATATAGGCCTCAAAGAAAAAATGGCAGAAGAGCACAAAGTAGCTGAGGTACATGAGAGAGGACCAGATGATGTTCTGCACGTGGGAATGGCACTGGCCCTGCTGCATCCAGGAGAAGACCAGGTAATTGATCACGCAACCGATCAACATCTGAGTGATCTGCGACAAGGTGATGAACATGGCAAACTTGCGCGACACCCTGAAGCCAGCAGCCCGCAAGGCATAGTACGAGTACATGACGGCGTGTACTCCATAGTTCATGGTCATGAACCAGCCACCGCCAGCCACCATGTCCTTGTAGGAATACCACGAGTAAAGTAACACCGTGATGTGATGGTACCAGTGTAAGAAGATGAGCTTCTGCTTCCTAAGAATAATGAATATTGTGTCACCTGTAACAAAACGAAACACAGAACAAGAGGGGAGGAAATGAGAAACATATCAAACAATTCCATCATTACTGCAGTGCTCTCTTCCCTTTGCTRTTACTGGAGTATACACTACTTTAGAGCATGAAATACACCTCAGCTCTAGATCTGTGAGCCTGTCTAATCTGAGAGCTAGTTTGGCTCCTGTCTCTATGCAATCTTTAGAAAACCAATGCATGTCCATTTTCCTGTACGGATAACCTCRTCTGAAAACTCCACAGGTTTACTTGGTAGCCCTTTGCTGCAAACATTATCCACTGAAGTCTGGGGTGAGATAAGTGGTTGTCCGTGTATCATCTCTACTGTGAGACTGTCCATTACGTACTATGACTGAAAGAGAAATGCAGCTTGACAAAGAGCAGAAAACCAAGTGGAAGTATCAGAGTCCTCTGATTCAAATGTCTACAGGCAAACTGAACCTAGTTAAAATCATTAGAAACTTTTGAGCTAATATGCCAAAAAGCATATGCAAACCACTATACTAAAATGCCCAGAAAGAAATCTGGGTCATGTTAAAACGCACATCCCTTTTCTGCAAATTCATCTTTATAAAAAAGTAAATATTATTCCTCTTTCTTTTTTTCTTCCTTTTGCTTYTCATGATTGCAATGAGCATCTCRATTAGATACATGGATATACTGTTAYACACACAGTGTTTCCRAAAGGATCCCTGTGATTTGAACCTGCGGACGTAGTTTGATGTGTAAGTATCCCAGGAAGTCTAAGTCATAAATATTAGTCATGGATGGAAGCAAAACTGCACCGTCTTCACAAGCTCTATAATAAACCATAATGCTRCTGTTCACCTCATTAACTGCAAGATGTTGACTCATATTTTAATAAGTAATCGTAGGTTCAATTTATTGTTGCTGTGCAGTTCTAGCTGATGTTCCCCATTTAACAACTAAATTTCTGTGKGTTTGCAGCAATTTAAGCAGCAGGAAACTAAGGGATTCTGACACAGCAAAGCAACTGGTGTCTGTCTCGTTCCAGTTTTAATGCTGATGAATTGCTGTCCTCTAATTTGCTGAATCAAATTAACTGCTGAAAGGTAAAGTCTTATTTTTGCTGTACACCTGAACACAGTGAGAGCTGCAGTCCTTTAAGGTTTAATAAGGGCATCTTCCAAAATGAAAGCTGGAGGGCTGATCCTTTCCATTAGAACAACCTTTCCTGGCACTAATAAGCCATGGATGAGAACACATGAAGACAGACTATTAAGTGGGCTTTCACATGTATATCATAAGTATCCTTACCAAAAAAGCCGCTGGAGAGATAGAAGCTTATAAAAATCAGGGCTGGAAAAGCTGGGGCTATTATGGGAAATTGGTTTCTAATTGGAGAAAGCAGACAGCCACAGCTTTCACTGTCTAGGGAGGAAGCACCCTCCTGTTCATAATTGTACACTTAGATGTGTATTAAAAACCAAAAGCTGCAGAATGGAGGCAGAGCCTGACTCAAAGCTTCTTGCTGACACAGCTCCTATAGCCCACCCTCCACTTCTCTAGCCCTGGGTTTGTGACTGCCAATTATGCCACTCCTATTTGCCTACACATAGCTCAGGAAGGAGTGTGGAGCAGATTGCTTTTACTTCTTGACCACCCTGCTGTGTGTAATCTCTGCAATTTATTCCGGGACTGGGAAAGTTCTTATTCAACTGCACACTGATCTAACTTCAGCCAGGCTGGAATTAACCTCTAGAGACTAAAACAAGCAGTTTGGGGTTGGTGTGCTTACTCAGTTTTTCTAAGACTTAAAGCAGATTTTGACAGCCCTTCTTGTGCTTCCTGCATGGACATTTCTTCTCTAAAAATACACATATGCATATGAGAGAAAGAGAGAGAGGGTACTCACCTAGTTCGGGTGCTTTGCTTAGCACAAATGCATATGCCCAGAATTTGCTGACAGGTCCAATGTAAAAACTCTGGTCACACACTGACTGTTTCAGGCCTTTGGTCATCAAAATGTACAGCATATAAGCACCAGTTCGAACAGCACCGAATATACTTTAAAACAAAAAGAAAATTAWGCAAGGTCAGTGCACATTTGAAATCTACACGCCATCACTTCAAATCATTATGAGGAGAAGATGATAACTGTGTGGAAATAATAAGTTTGAGACAGCTTAAAAGCTGGAGAAGCTCTGCTGGCTTCTAGGAAGTTACTCTGAGCTCASACTTGTAAACTGGACTGCAGCCACATCCCCTGGTGAATGTCTGGAGTGGTAACATCAGTGGTTTTTTTATCTCATTACTACAGTAATGATGCTTCAATTTTCAGGAGCAGGAAAATATCTATTTCAGCTCAAAACAACACGCTGAGTTTTGATGCTGATGGCTGGGAAACTACAAGAAATGAGTTGATAAAATGCTGTATCATCAACAMAATCAGGACCAAATCCCTCTTCTGGTTTCCTCAGTTTTCTCTCATCTCTCCCTGTATTTGTTACATCCAGGGAGCTCTGAGCACAGATAAACCCAGGCAGGGCACACGGATTTTGATGAGGAATCTCCAGTCAGAGCCRGTGTTTTAGTGTACGTGCTTGACTTCATCCCTTAACAGGTCATTGCTAACAGAGGAAACAGGTACTTAAATCAAGCTGTAAACAGCAGATTCAAAATCAAAATGAGATGCAAGRTAACAGTGTTCTGTAAATGAGAAACATCAAGAGATTTGTAACAGTATTAATTAACTATTAATTATCTTATTAATAGATGGGATAGGTTGACATCCAGCTCATGTAAGGARCAAAGGCTTTTGTCTCACCAGCAAGGAGCTCTGCAGAAGGAAATGYCTCACTGTTTTATGGCAAGAACATGCCTGCCCATTGTCTAGCACTGTAGCTTGGTGGCCCTTCAYAAGCTGTGATGAACACTGGGTGAAGGAAGTAGCTTTCAAAAAAACAGGAGCAAAGACAGATGCAACCTATTTTGGCGTTGAATATATCCTACTTTATGCCTGTATTATACGTCCTCATCCCTCTACCCAGCTCCATCTTACCTCCCCTCCAACTTCTTTGTGACCTTGACCTACCCTGGTTCCCACTCTGCCTTGTTKCCTTTCATGACAATTACATGGCAGCAGGCAAAACAAGCCAYMTAAAACTGATGTATAAACACATGTRGGTAATGCAAGCTACCATTTCTGCAAAGTGTGTGAAAGAAGRCACAGTTCCTCTGAAGTTATAGATTCTCTGCTACTTGTCTTGTGAAGACCGTATTCTTTAAAAAATACGCTTCAAAATCATCAAGGCAGCCCCAAAAGCTGACTTCTGTGGCAGTTTTTATGGCACTTGTTCAGACTAGAGATTTTAGTAAGCCATACCAACTGCTGGCCTAACTCACATATCATTTGCATGGAGTACTCAGATTTCCAGATCTGCAGCATTGACACACCCAGTCAAATCTGCAGCTGGCTCTCCCCTGTCCACTGCACRGCATCTGCAGCCAAGTGGAGTGCCACAGTGCCTGCTGCTCTTCGGGCTGTCAGGGGCATCACAGAGGGGCTCTACAGTCAGGTCATGCCCATGGAGAAGTGCTGCATCCTGGCTYCTGCACCATCACCCTTTGATGCCAAGAGGTTCCACTGCACCATCACGAAATTCAGACAACTGTGAGAACTTACAAAGCCACTATTATTATCTGCTATTTGCACAGTGGTATTTGCTCATGGGCTCTAGTGACAGATGAGTCCTGTTGTGCCATGTGCAGGTGACACCCTGCTGTGGTACAGGGGTGCTGGAGAAGTTCAGCTGAGGCTGTGTTTCCATCAGCATTGCCCAAAGCAAGGCACRCATTCCCAGGCTCAGGCAAGAGCCACTGCAGTCTCTCACGTTCATCCACCCCTGCATGCAGAGGAGACAGTGCAGGGCTGTCAGCATCCATGCAGCCCATGGTGCATCCTCTGCATGAAGGGCTGTTTCCACCCAGAAATGCTCTCTCAGCACACTTCTCTCACATCTTTCAGGCATCGGTCATTTTAACTTAGCAGAGAGAGCCAAAACCTGCAGGAGGAGTTTTGAAATGAAGTGCAACTCATTCTGTGTCTTCTCTTTGGTGTTTAAAACATGCCTCTTTTTTTTTTTTTTTTTTTTTTTTTTTTTGTTTTTAAAACCTTTCCTTTTTTTTTTTTTTTTTTTTTTTCTTTTCTCAGGAGCTGCATTTCTCATTCCCAAGAAGACAGGAGATCCTGACAGAGATGTGATCTGATCACTTCCTGAGGCAGTGAACTCCTCAGGCTAGCCAGGGCATGCTGTTGCCTGCTCCTATGGTTTGGGTGGTTGCAAAACTGGGTGGAGGAGGATCAGGCAGAATACCTAATGATACACTGGCTCTCCCATTAGCAAGTATCTCAGTGCTGACATTAAAGTTGGGGGGGAGGAAGGAAACTTTAAATTATGAAATCAAATAGCTGGAAGAAATATGCCTTTMCCTATAAAGAAGCTGTATTCCTTTTCTAAAAAATTGTTACTAAAGTTTTTAAACCAAAGAGAATTTCGTGCCATGAACACAAACACAAATGTGAAGAACACTTGTTGGAGCAACAGGCAAACAATGATCTAATTGTGATTGAGTAGGGACACCCAGGGATCTAATCTAGACTGATAACAGAGCCAAAGAGTCTGTGCCTGGTGGGGATTAGAGTGTCCCTTTGCAGTCTCTGAGATTATATTGATGTAACTCTTTCTGTCTTTCTGCTACGCAGCTACTGCAGAGCTGTCCTTGGAGTGCACACACACACTGAATCACACTCACATACTTTTCTACAATTCCACAGGATGGTGGTTTCCTCTAGTTCCATGACTCTAGAATTGACTTCAGTTCCAGCTCTACATGCTGTGAGTCAGACTGATCTGTATTYTTTATCAGCAGAAACCAAGTTACACTTTCATGTAATTCACGACGGAAGGCTTTATGAATAAGAAGGACAGCAAGCTGGAAGGAACTGATTCAATTACCCAGACAGGCACCATGAGCAGGTAGCTGCTTAGGAGAGGTGYTGCATGCCAAAACACCACCCTGCCAACAAGTACATGCCACCTGAGACTCAAAGGGATCTAATGCATGCCTGCAAATGTGCCTTGGAGCCAGGGAGCTAGGACTGCTCTTTGTGCCTCTGCCACTTAATCTTGTTTGTTCTGTAAGGTAAAATCAACCAACAGATTTCTGTCTTGCAAAGACATGATGTGCAGCAGAGTGATGACACTGCTTAGTCAGTAAATCACTTCTGCTTCATTCTGTCCTCGCCCTGCTCTCTGCTGTAGCTTTTGTGAGATATTGAAATGAACTGCTTACCAAAGCAGTCTGTCTGGTGGGAATCATCTGCAGGGATTTCAGAAATAAGGTAGCAGTGAATTACTGTACAATTAYAGTCTTTTCCAACTCGAGAGACTGMTCAGAAACAAACTGCACTATCTAATGCAGCTTTCTCATCTATTCAGGCTCAAAATGTCCTACATTCTCCTCCCTTCAGGCAGTGACCTGTCTGGTAGGTTAACAAATGCCCAATTGATATTTTACTGGTCCATAGTATGATCACAATACATCCATGAGTAAAATACAAACTAATATTTTTCCCTCTCARACTTGTTTTCARATGGGTTAGTGGGCTGRCCCTGGCTGCACACCAGGTGCCCAGGAAAKCTGCTCTATCAGCCCCCTCCACAACTGAACAGGAGGGAGAAAATATGTCAAAARGCTCCTGGGTTGGAACAGAGGCACAGAGAGATCACTCACCTGTTACCATCATGGGCAAAACAGAGTCAACTTGGGGAAATGGCTTTATTACAAATCAAATTAGGGTATAGTGATGAGAAACAAAAGCTAAATATTAAAAACACCGCCCCATCTTCCCTTCTTCCTTGGCTTCCCTTTATCCTGAATTCTCTACCTCCTCTTCCCCAGTGGCRAGGCAAGGAGGGGGATCAGGAAAGGTCCTCCTTTCCAAAATCTGCCCACAGAAATTCAATACTCAGAGGGCCTCAAAACACATCCCATGTATGGGTTAGGCACAGAATTAAGGAAGAGGGAAACTGAGGGCTGGAGAGCTGGCTGGTGGGAAGACAATGCAGGCTTTAATGTCTCAAGCCTATTGCTGGTTTTCGCTGTCTCCATCCTATTTGCCTCACTCACTTCAGGAGGGAGTGAAGTATTGGTTTCCCAAAAGCCCTAGTGAGCAGCAGGTACCTTAAGCCTTCAGTCCAACCCCAGCTGCCATTGCAGCAGGCTCAGCTCCTCCTCACAGCAGAGGTCACTGACCATTTTTTTTTTGCCCATTTTTGCTGGGGCTGCTTTCTATGGAGACCCATCCCTGCACTTGGCTCCTGACACCTCTGGACATCCCAGTCCAGGATGAACACTGCAGAGCAGGGAATGTGACTTCCAAATAAAAACAGATTTAAAAGTTCAGCACAGAATATCAACATATCCTAAGGGATAATCACAGAGCACAAAGTCTCTGCTCTGGTTTCCATCTTAAAAAAAATGTAACCAAAGAAACCATGCAATATGCATATGAAGAACTAAATAAAGATGGCATTGTAGGGGATAGAAGTCTTGATGATGGCTATGGATGARTGAAAAGTACGTTATCTACGAGCTGGAGATGGGTAGTGGAGTCTTTCCGAGAGCATGCCATCCCCCGTGCCCAGCACCAGCAGAGAGCAGCAGGGAGCCCGCAAACAAGACCCAGCCATGCTGCACTAAATTAAGGGCTGTTGGCACTTCAAGCAGAACCCTCCTTTCCCAGCCTCACAGGCTGTTCAACAGCTCAAACCACTGGCACTCAGCTGGTTCAACCAGGCTCTGAGCTGTTGGACTACRCTGTCCTGAGGGTGTGCTGGGCTAGTCCAGCAGCGAGCCAGCTGGCCACCCAGACACAGCTCCCACGGGTCCAGCTCCTGCTCCCAGCCTGGGGCCCAGCTGGAAAAGAGAAGAAATATTAATTCTGCCCCAACCTGATTACRTCGTGACTCACAGGAGTCCTGGCAGGTGAGTCTGTGCCCTGG